ACACTGCAACAGAGACTAGAATTATTACATACTCAGTGACGTGGTGAATGGAAACTGATGTGACTAAATGTCATATGGTCGTAGTAGTCACTCAGAAGAAAGTAAAATACACTGTCTGAGGTTGCCATTTAGGTGTTTGATAAAAAAAACGTGTACCTATATCAACTTAGGGATGTGAAAATGTGGATTTTCAGTCCATGAAATGTATGTAAATATTTGTTAAATACGAGTTATAAATTATCAAGTAGTGTTGTGAATGGGGTTGATATCATCCGTCGGTTATTTACCACACAAGATGTATTATAGTTTATAACTATTGGCTACATAGAGATATCCAGGCCACTGCTGTATAATGTAAAAGAAACATTTGAAAGATGCCACCCCAAATACGTTATATAATAGAAAACGTCAAGGCCAGAGAATAACCAGTCTTTATTGTCCGCCGAGTCCACTGGATGTAAAAGGCAAAATACTAATGAACATTATATCACTGAATCACTGAAACACACTTTAAAGGTTTGCTTTTTATCCTTTTGGATTGAAATAATATTGTTTTTACAACAGGTGGGAATGTGCAGTTACATCTGAAGGTATTTTAAGAAATATTAAAAGATTAAAGAGTTCAGATTGGCGCGGATAAGTCACTTCATCAAAAATTGTAGAATTCAATGCTTTCTTTAAGTCCTTGTTGGAATGTGAAATGTACTTATTACATTTAAAAAAAAATTACAGTATAGAAGAACATTGATTATATTCAGAAGTGGATATAATTTTCTCCGAATACAGAAATGCCGTGGGGTTGATGGTGATAATACTATTTTTGCAGTCAATTCAGTATCTGAAACAAAAAAACCATTTACTTTTAAATCGCGCAGTGTATGATCGAGATGACACTAAGCTAACAAGTTTAATAAAAATTAATATATCTGATGTCAATCAATTGTCCTATATGCATTAAGTCAATTTCCGAGGGGAAATAAAATAATAAGGAAAGTAGAAAATATTATCATGTCCCATTGAAAGTGTTAAAATCACACTCTCCGTAGTCAGCTTCCAAAAAAACATATTTGGGGGCGTGGCTTAAGGGTACCGGCGCAGCGGTCCGTGACAAAGGTTTTCATTGGCTGGCTGGTAGTTCTTAGCAGCCATATACATATCCTGTTTCTGTTATTTCTGTTAATCCTACAAAAATAACAACAATGTATACATTGTTGAATGGGTTAAAATTTACCCTTGACTTTGACGTTGTGAATAATAAAAACATAACAATTAACAATCTGTAACTATCATTGTATTACACTGAAAGGACGATAACCTCGTTTTATGTCCTTACTGACATCCTATTCGAACCCCGGTTCGCCCAGATTATGTTTCTAGGTTTGTCAGCACCATACCCGTGCTCTTGGATTTCACCGAAGTGGTAAACGTCTGAGACCTGCATCACTTTGGACTTTCCTCCCACCTTAAGCTGACACGCCGCGATATAACTGGAATAATGTTAAAATCTGCGTTTAAACAAACTCACTCACTCACACTCACACTGACAACCTTTTGGGTTCCCTAAACGATGACCTCTTGTTTATCCAGCAGCTGGCCAAGGGATAATCCCCATTGTGTTTGTTGAAGCGGATGCTTGTAACACATCGGTAACGATTTGCCACACAAAAATACACAACACATCTTAAATTTACGTAATTTACAGTACAACTAAAAGAGAAACAGCATTGTGGTAATCGTTCACTGGTTTCTGGTTGTCAAGAGGTTGTCTCTTCTCCCTCTCCTGGGCATGGTCTAGGTTTCTCAACTTCTTTTTGAGTGGCATCAAACTATACCTAAATTGTGATCGCAGCATTATCCCACTCAACCTGCAGGATATTTTCCAGTGTATGGCCAAATTAAAAATGTTGACAAATATTCTATATTAATAAGCATTATGAATTGTACTTTGTTATTTGTACTTTGCAGTAATTGTACAAATTGTCTTAGAAACTTTCAAAGTACATTATGGCAGCCTTATAGGTTGCGTAAGGTGGGAAAAATACAGCAAAAAGAACATCAGATGTCCTATATGTGTTAAGTCTATATCCGTGGGAACAATATTCCTATAATTATTCGAAAGTACATAAATGTCTAAGTGAAAGTGCTGAAATCACAGGCTCCGTAATCGGCCTCCATAGCAAAAAGGTTTTTGTGGCATGGACTATAACTATCGGTATAACCTCACTGTGCCCTCACCCGAACCTGCACCCTATAACAATAGGTGAGGGCACAGTGAGGTGTTCCCAAACTATCGGTATAACCTCACTGTGCCCTCACCCCAACCTACACCCTACAACAATAGGTGAGGGCACAGTGAGGTGGTCCCAAAACTATCGGTATAACCTCACTGTGCCCTCACCCCAACCTACACCCTATAACAATAGGTGAGGGCACAGTGAGGTGTTCCCAAACTATCGGTATAACCTCACTGTGCCCTCACCCCAACCTACACCCTATAACAATAGGTGAGGGCACAGTGAGGTGTTTCCAAACTATCGGTATAACCTCACTGTGCCCTCACCCCAACCTACACCCTATAACAATAGGTGAGGGCACAGTGAGGTGTTCCCAAACTATCGGCACAGCGGTGCAGCGGCGCTTGGCAACTGTTTTCATTGACTGACATGTTTGCCGTGTTTATCTATCTTGTGATCCTTAGCCGTTATACATACTGTTTCTGCTATTTCTGTTAAATAGAACCCATCTATGGACATCACCATCTTGTTGGTAGACTTCACTCCACTGAAGCCCAGATTTTGAGCCTTCCTCCGGAGAGAACAATGGCAATAGCGTCCATGGACATCACGGTTTAATGGGAAGCTGGAATCTGGATCACAATAGCTGCAGGGGTCGCCTGATGGCTGATGAACCATGTCACTGAAGACTTAGAAGACGCTCATAGGTACGTCGTGTACGAGTGAGTGAGTTGGGTTTAACGCCGCTTTTAACAGTATTCCAGTCATATCGCGGCGTGTCAGCTTAATGTAGGAGGAAAGCCCGAAGTGATGTAGGTCTGAGACGTTTACCACTTCGGTGAAACCCACGGGCACGGGTATGGTGCTGACAAACCTAGAAATATAATCGGGGCGAACCGGGATTCGAACCCTACAATCCAAGGGACGCAACTCTGCACAGCGAATCGCGGAGCCTTACACGACTGGGCCACCCGTGCCCCCCAATAGCTAGGAAATCGGAATTATAAAAATACAGGAGATGCAACAGTAGAAGCATGTACGGTTAGTTAATAGTTTTCAACAGTGTAGAAGGCAGTATATACTGGTTCAAAAAAAGGTTTAGGACCACCCTTCTTTCATACAACTACAATAAATTTGTCATGCCATGACAGATTAATCATTGCAATATGAAAGGATCGGGGCTCTTCTACTTTACTCTCGTAGTATAATGTAGAAAATTCATCCTGTCACTTCCCCCAAACAACATACTGTGTAACTATTATTCCCTTTAGGCCTAACCATGTTGGGGCGGCCGGGTGGCCTAGTGGTTAAAGCGTTCGCTCGTAACGCGGAGGACAAGGGTTCGATTCACGGCATGGGTACAATGTGTGAAGCCCATTTCTGGTGTCACCCGCCGTGATATTGCTGGAATATTGCTTGAAGCGTCGAAAAACCAAACTCACTTACTCGACCTACGTACCCATGTGGCGTGCGAGGCTGGGCACACAGGGCAAGTCAAGCTCCACCCTAAACTGTCACACCCGTACTTGTGAAGATATTGTCCTACTATAGAGTGCACCAATTCTACTCAATGTGATCTGTGTGTTGATTCTACTTAGGCGGAATTATTCAAGGAATTATTCATGCATTGGTACAAGTCTTAAGTCGACAAACCTAAATATCTGATAGTTCTAACTCATCTGGCTCGTCTATTTCGGCAAAATCAGCAAAATCCAAACCAGGTAAACAGGCGTCTATCGACTATTTTGTCCAGGGACCCTGGTTGTCTCTGACAAACGACCACGAGTCCGTTCAGCTAGTTCCGTTCCGGGAATCTGATGCTTGTCAATCCAGCGATGTGTGTCAGATTGCAAGTACACCTTGAATTGGATCAAGTATCACGGCTGTCGATCCAGTGCATCATATTTCGGATCAGCAAGGGCCACAACGGGGTGAATCAGGGTCGACGGTTACGGGCTCTCATGATACCCTGCTTTCGGATCGGATTCCCAGGGTGCAGGCCCATCCACGGACCTCGGATCCTACAGTGAGAGAGTTAGTGAGTGAGTGAGTGAGTGTCAGCTTAATGTGGGAGGAAAGCCCGAAGTGACGCAGGTCTCAGACGTTTACCACTTCGGTGAAACTCACGTGCTGACAAACCTAGAAACATAATCGGGGCGAACCGGGATTCGAACCCACAATCATAGGTTTCTGGCGTGCCCTAGGGACGCAACTCTGCACAGCGAATCGCGGCGCCTTAGACGACTGGGCCATCCTTGCCCCCCGGATCCTACAGTATTTGGATCCCCCCTAGGAACCAGCAGGAGCCTTTCCTGTGGAACTTGAAAAATAACCCCGGAGAGAAGTCGTACGTTTTCACTGTCGCAATCTACAACTATTCACTCACTCACTCATCAGCTGGAAATAAATGTCATTAGAACATTTTTACAACTTATACCGGGTTATGAATAGTATATCAAAAGAAGATACACACACTATCTCAAATCTAAACATGTTAAATATGGTGTAAGACTGAAACAGTTTTGAAAGTTTATGTGAGATCACTTTAATAACTCTGTTTAACCCAGCTCTATCACTTACTTTAAAATAGTTAAATGATTTCAGTACAAAGAAGATACCATCCCATGAGTGAGTAAAAATTAAACGTCGCATCGGCATTATTTCAGCCATATAGGGACTCCAAACCATGAAAGCCTACACAAGACAAAGTTTATACCCCAACATACACCGCCGGCCATCTGACATGAGGCTTGAACCACTTCACTTGGCTGCAGGTGTGGGACTCATCTAAAACCAGACTTACCGTGTTGCTGTACAAGTTACCTCCCCTCCTACCTCTATACAGAAAGTAGGATTTACTTCCTTGTTACGTGGACAAGACAGACACTCCCCTGCACGTTCTTCACGTCTTACCAGGTAAACAATACAAATAACGAGAACTGTGGCATAAACAACCTTCATTCGCTCACTTTTCTGTGTAGACAATATAGACACAAACTGATTTAAGACCTTGAGAATTTATATTAAAGGGTTTATACTTAGAAACAGAAAATACAACGCTTCATTCTATCAATAGTTGAGGGTTCCATTTGACAATCTAAACAAAAAAAATTACAGTTCACACTGATTTTTATATGTAACAAATATAATTGATTATTATCACACAGGACAGTTATTTTCAGGATAAATGTTCGTGCCTTATTCTTCCCCGCCCTGGACGCAGGGAGGTTAATAGGTTAGTTAGTTTTTGACTGAAGGAGCGCGCTTTGATCTGGGCATGTTTTAACCTGCCACATTCTGTTTCTAATGGAGACAATGTATGCAATTTGTTCATTTAGGGGAAATAAATCTCTCTTCGCTAAAGTTAACCGGTCTATATTTTGTAAGAATAAACTATTAAGTATTATCACCTTTAGCTATATCTTGAAATTGAGCTTTATCACGCACTGGCCTTGCAATGCTGTACTTCGTATCTTATTCAAGCTGTGAGCTGCCGCGGGTTTGGAGGGTGAGTTATTATACGGATGAATAGCTCTATTGCGCACTACCTTTCAGTGTATGGTAAGTTATTCAGGCTGCCAGGGAGGCGGTCAGGTCAAACGTGCAGGTGACGCGCACTCAATCTTTCTCCCTTCACAATGCTTTTGCAACTGCAGTCCGTTTGACTCCAAATGAGAACGATGAATTGCAAAATAACCCGAAATCCAGAAAAGTGTATGAAACATCAATACGGTACTTGACCATGAATACCCTGTACCCAACAAAATCTGAATTTTGTTTATTTTAAGAACCATAACGGATGAAGTTCTTTAAGAAACTATCATGTAATTTTGTATAGAAATGTGTACATGACACGTAGGGGGGACAAACCGTGGAAGGCACAGCGCAAGCACGCATGCACTGCACGTTCTGTGGTAGGGGAAATGATAGAGCGTTAGAGGGGCCGTCTCATGATAATTTCAGTCACAATCTGACTGGCTCATGCCATAGATCTCGTCGTCGGAACTGCTGGTGCCTGAACCGACTGCAACTATTATAGGTTGGACTGTTGCTGGCCGTAGTCCATCTCGTGACCAATAACGTGGCTCTATCTCGTCAACGACTGTGGCCACACAACGCCTCCATGTTTCAACTGTTACCCGACCAAGGGATTCCTTTACGAGTTGTTCAACGTCTCGTCATTTGAAAGGTTGTGTTCGATCGTTCAACGTCACCCTTGACGATGCCCCATACCAACTCGACTGGATTCAGGTCGCAGTGATAAGGTGGCAGTTGTAAGACAGCGTGACCCTGACGCTTGATGTAACTGTCAACTTTATACATGGGGTCAGGTTTCATAGTTTTGATGAGCTGTGGTTTCGTCGCTCGAGAAGGAAAGGTAATGTTCCTTCGTTGCAGCCAAGTAACCATGTCTCCTTTACGGTTATTAGAGGTTGGAGGTTGCTTTCTGGATCCTGCACACAATGAGAGACTTGGTAGGCAAAGCAGGGACTAATTTATCTTTCACCCACTCCAGAAATACATTGCCGTTCATTTCTGTGTGGTAGTCCCTGTTGTCTTTGGCCTTGGCTCTAAAGACGAGGTCACAGTCTGGGAGAAAACCCTGACTAGCATAACCAGCATGGAGAACTATGAGTCTTTCACCCTTTCCCATTGGTAACTTTCTACCAGACTCCTTACAGTCACCACTGGGTACCCACTGACTGCTGGCTGTGTGTGACACATTTACCCATGTCTCATCTAAGAAGACGGGCTCATATCCTTCTTCACGTTTCTGCTTGATGGTACGAAGGTAATGATTTCGGAGACGAACAATGTCAGACCGTTCACACAACACAGCCCTATTTTCTCCAGTTATCTTTTTGTATTTGTAACCAAATGTATGCAACACCTGTACTTTGTAACACGTAAATCATGGTCAGTTTCAATGTGTTTCTTCAAAATTCTTAGGGACAGGTACTTATTTTCTGAGTGCAGTTTAACAATTCCACGTCTGACTTGATCCCTTTGAAAACTGTTTAATTTATCAACCTTGCGTGGTTTTGACATGTTCCCTACCTCCTTGGCCTGACTTTTTGTATCTCGTCGACTAACAACACTTTTATGTTTCTCAGGGGACATACCAAGAGCTTTTGAAGCTCGTTTTAAGAATTTATTAATTGCATAAAAAGGCTTTGCTCTTTCTGCTTCACTTCTAAAGAAATCATACACATTCAACATCAACTGTTTAACATCTGCTGAGTAGCACATCTTTGTTGTTAACTTCCGGCAGAGATGGTCTGTAGATTGCAATTATTTTCCTTAAAAATAATACGTTGCATGATATATTCACCATGTTGGGTTTAACATCGTAATATTCTTCTGAACATACATCAAATCTAAACCGGAAGTAATCACAACACAAACCCTGCTAACCAAACGGAACCGTACACAACAGTAATGAATGAATGAGTGAGTGAGTTGGATTTAGTTATATCACGGCATTTAGCTTGATGTTGGAGGAAGCCCGAAGTGATGCAGGTCTCAGACGTTTACCACTTTGGTGAAACCCATGAGTAGGGGTATAGTGCTGACAGACCTAGAAACATAAACCGGGGTTCGAACACACTGTCATAGGTTTCTGGCGTGCCCTGCACAGCGAAATGCATCTTAGACGACTGGGCCACCCATACCCCCGTACACAACTGTCACAAACTATCATACAACAAAGAATCATTAGATAAGATAAGATATTTGTTACATAAAATTCCATGAAGAAACAGTGGCAATATACTACAACTACAAAATATATGCACAGTAAGTTCAAACACACAGGTACATTCAACATACAAAGGAGGTACATTATAACAATTCCATTTTAAAACAAGCGCAGTATTATGAAATAAATAAATATGAATAAGAACCAAGATGGCGGGTGTTACTCCTTCTCTCTCTCTCTCTCTCTCTCTCTCTCTCTCTCTCTCTCTCTCTCTCTCTCTATATATATATATATATATATATATATATATAATAAAATAATAAAGTCCACGTTTGTCCATCATCTTCTTTATATCAGTTTCATACATAGTACTTTCGCTGTCACTGAAGAGCTGTCATGAGACAGCGAAAGTACTATGTATGAAACTGATATAAAGAAGATGATGGACTAACGTGGACTTTATTATTTTATTATATATTACATGTACACCGAGTGAACATTTACCTCATTTTTGTATATATATATATAATGTAGAGGTGTGATTTTTTTCTATCCGAATATATTATACTATACAGGCAAGCATCGAGTTCCTGGGAAATACGCATACGCGTACTTGTCTGTATCACCCCCCACCCTCCCCCACCCCACCCCACCCACCCCAACCCCCAGCCCTGATTGCTATATCTGAACTGTTGAAACAATTAAACTGTACAATAAACTTTGAAAATTGATTGAAAGTGTACGAACTTGTCTGCAACCTGAACTGGATCCATGTAATGTGAACAATACATTCCGGAAGTCATGTGACCCAGAACGAATAACAATGAAGCCACACCTCCGAGAGCTGTCTAATAGCAATATAAGTCAGCATGAAAGTTTGGAATTAAATATATAGGATCGATTCTAGAAAGCTCCCTGTAAACATCGGTTGATAAAACCCTTGACTGTGATGGCATCATCACGCAATGATGATAATGATAATGTTAACAATCTGGTTGGAATGACCTCGGACCCCCAACCCTGGATCGCGAAGGCAATCGACGACTGTCAAAACATCTAAATGTAGACTGTGAACTGTAATATTTTATACGGACGACAATTCACTCGAGACTTGCAATAACTGTAACTGTAACTTGTATGCTTGAATAATTACAATCTTGAAATATATCGAAATGAATCTGGAATGGATGTCGGAATCTCGGAATCATATTTTTTGCATCCTAAGAGATTTTTAAATTGGCTAATATTAACACTTGGTCTGCTCTCTAAGTATTTAATTGCGGATTAGTGATTATTAACTTTTGAGGATATCCGGATGGCGTCTTGTTGACGTCCGGATGTCCTCAAAAGTTAATAATCACTAATCCGCAATCAAATACTTAGAGAGCAGACCAAGTGTTAATATTAGCCAATTTAAAAATCTCTTAGAATGCGAAAAATATGATTTAGTTATGACGTAACCCTGGAACCATACCATGCTTGTCAAAGTCAAAATTGCCGCTCCAAAGTAAACCTTGACAGGTCTATTTATAGATGACCTAAGGTCACATGATACGCAACCGTGACGTAAGAAATCCAAGATGGCGACTGTAAACATGAGTGACATGACTGACATGACTCAAGTTGGAATTTACTGCTTATTTGATTCTGTAACTTGGAAAAACACTGCTTAAATTAAGGTATGTCATCCTTGTAACGTGCAACATGATGCTAGTACCATGGTTGAAATTAGTGTGATGGCTTGGAGTTTTGAAAATCTGTTTACCTTGCCAGAACAGCAGGTTTTTTTGTCTTCTACTTTTATTTTGCATAAATATTCTCATTCCTGACTCTGTAGGTACCACATGCAAATTACAATTTGTTATATCTTCTTGGTTACGCATGTGTGCTTTATGACAGTACGGGTACAAAATTTCTTTGCACCGTGTTGATCCTCTGTATCAATGTTACCTTGTACACATGCACCCATACCAATTCATTTAGACCCTAATCAAAACGTGTCTGACAAAACTGTTGAAGCACATCACTGAGCTTCAGGTGTGTGACTTGTTTCCACCCTGCTTATACCGTCATACTTTGTTTCCCTTCCAGATTAGTACCGTGGTTACCACTTGTGCCGCTACTACTACCACTTCTACTACTACTCCTACTACTACTACTACTACCACTACTACTACTACTATTACTAACACTACAACTACTACTCCTACTACTATAACTACTACTACTACTCCTACTACTACTACTACTACCACTACTACTACTACTCCTACTACTATTACTACTACCACTACTACTACTACTACTCCTACTACTACTACTACTACCACTACTACTACTACTCCTACTACTATTACTACTACCACTACTACTACTACTCCTACTACTACTACTACTACCACTACTACTACTACTCCTACTACTATTACTACTACCACTACTACTACTACTCCTACTACTACTACCACTTCTACTACTACTCCTACTACTATTACTACTACTACTACTACTACTACTACTACTATTACTAACACTACTACTACTACTCCTACTACTATAACTACTACTACTCCTACTACCACTACTACTACTACTACTACTACTACTACTACTACTACCACTACCACTACTACTACTACTACTACTACTACTCCTACTCCTACTACTACTACTACTACTACTACCACTACTACTACTACTACTACTACTCCTACTACTATTACTACTACCACTACTGCTACTACTCCTACTACTACTACTACTACCACTACTACTACTACTCCTACTACTATTACTACTACTACCACTACTACTACTATTACTAACACTACTACTACTACTACTATAACTACTACTACTCCTACTACTACTACTACTACTACTACTACTACCACTACTACTACTACTACCACTACTACTACTACTACTACTACTACTACTACTACTATTACTAACAATACTACTACTACTACTACTACTATAACTACTACTACTACTCCTACTACTACTAATACTACTACTACTACTACCACTACTCCTACTACTACTACTACTACTACTCCTACTACTACTACTACTACTACTATTACTATTACTGGTCCATTTGCATTGCATGCTGGAAAAATACAACTTGAGTAATTGTTTTATATAAGTATTCTGAACACTAAATGTGATTCTTAACCCAGAAGAAACCATCAAGCCATAGGTTAATGCCCCCCTGTGTTAGGGTGTAGTGACATTTAGTCATCACAGTCACCGAGTATGACCACCTGCTTCACCTTTAGCCTCCCATCATGACGACTAATAGAATGCTGGAACACTATTCTAACCCAGATCCCCACTGGGACTTGCCTGATTCTAATCAATCTCCTAAGGCATGGTTTGTTTGTTTGTTTCAGAGTCTCCTTCTTCATGTTCTTGGAATCTGAAATGCTTGTATGGAACAAACTACAGCTTTTGAAGGATGGAAACTGACGACAACGTGGCACAAGGTGGCGCTGTGGCAAGACCATTCACAGATACTGTAGCTGCCACAGAGGGAAGTCAGCAACATGGGAGACAACTCACTACAATATCAACACAAGATGGTGCGGCGGCTAGACCTTTCACAGATAATGTAGCTGCCACAGAGGGAAGTCAGCCACAGGGGAGACAACTCACTACAACATCAACACTAGATGGCGCTGTGGCTAGGCCTTACACAGATACTGTAGCTGCCACAGAGGGAAGTCAGCAGCAGGGGAGACAACTCACTACAACATCAACACAAGATGGCGCTGTTGCTAGACTTTTCACAGATACTGTAGCTGCCACAGAGGGAAGTCAGCAGCAGGGGAGACAACTCACTACAACATCAACACAAGATAGCGCTGTGGCTAGGCCTTTCACAGATACCTTAGCTGCCACAGAGGGAAGTCAGCAGCAGGGGAGACAACTCAATACAACATCAACACCAGATGGTGCTGTGACAAAACCTTACACAGATAATGTAGCTGCCACAGAGGGAAGTCAGCAGCAGGGGAGACAACTCGCTACAACATCAACACCAGATAGCGCTGTGGCTAGGCATTTCACAGATACTGTAGCTGCCACAGAGGGAAGTCAGCAGCAGGGGAGACAATTCACTACAACATCAACACCAGATGGTGCTGTGACAAGACCTTACACAGATACTGTAGTTGCCACAGAGGGAAGTCAGCAGCAGTGGAGACAACTCACTACAACATCAACACCAGATTGCACTGTGGCTAGACATTACACAGATACTGTAGCTGCCACAGAGGGAAGTCAGCAACAGGGGAGACAACTCACTACAACATCAACACCAGATGGTGCTGCGGCTAGACCTTTCACAGATAATGTAGCTGCCACAGAGGGAAGTCAGCAACAGGGAAGACAACTCACTACAACATCAACACCAGATGGTGCTGCGGCCAGACCTTTCACAGATAATGTAGCTGCCACAGAGGGAAGTCAGCAACAGGGGAAACAACTCACTACAACATCAACACCAGATGGCGCTGTGGTTGGTCCTTCCACAAATACGACCGCCTCCGTGGTCTTGTGGTAGAGCGTCCGCCTGGAGAGCGGAAGGTCCAGGGTTCGATCCCGGGCCGCGTCATACAAAAAGTCGTTAAAAGATTGTACTTGTTGTTACCCTGTCTGGCGCTCGGCATTAAGGGGCTAAAACAAGGACTGGTCGGCTCGGAGTCAGTATACTGTGTCTGAGTGGGGTATTCATGTTAAACTGCGGCATGGTATCTCAGTGAGCTAGCACTATAAATCGGCATCAGTCCGGACTAGTACAAGCAGCCACACACACACATACACGTGCATGCACGTCGCTATATAAGTGCAATAATCTTGGACGCGACGTTAAACTCAATTTCACCTCACCTTCCACAAATACTGTAGATGTTGCAGAAGGAAGTCAGCAACAGGGGAGACAACTCAATACATCAACACCAGATGCTGCTGTGACTAGACCTTACACAGATACTGTAGCTGCCACAGAGGGAAGTCAGCAACAGGGGAGACAACTCAATACAACATCAACACCAGATGGCGCTGTGGCTAGTCCTTACACACATACTGTAGCTGCCACAGAGGGAAGTCAGCAGCAGGGGAGACAACTCACAACAACATCAACACCAGATGGCGCTGTGGCTGGACCTTTCACAGATACTGTAGCTGCCACAGAGGAAAGTCAGCAACAGGGGAGACAACTCACTACAACATCAACACCAGTAGGTGCTGCGGCTAGACCTTACACAGATAATGTAGCTGCCACAGAGGAAAGTCAGCAACAGGGGAGACAACTAACTACAACATCAACACCAGATGGTGCTGTGGCTAGACCTTTCACAGATACTGTAGCTGCCACAGAGGAAAGTCAGCAGCAGGGGGCACAGTCCATTTCCACAACCACCCACAACTACTTTGGTGAGGCTGTATGGAAAATCTGACTTAGTTTTCTTTTTGAGGAAAACAAAAGGAGGCCGTGGTAATCTAGGCACCATTATCCACTGTGTAGTGTTCCGTTCCATGGTTGTTGAAGAATCCTGTGATCTTTTATTTAAATTTATATGTTGATTATGTTCCACGCTTTTTCAGAATCAAAACTGTACTTTTTAGTTTCACCAAAGTGGTAAACATCTAAGACTTGCATCATTTCCCTAATTTAGTTGGCATCCCTTACTCACTCACTCACTTCAGGGGAGAGCCTGCAACCTGTAAACAAAACAAAGAATCTGACTAGAAGATGTTGTATTTCAGTGGAATACACCCTAACTTCATTCATTTTTGCTCCAGGTTCTACAGTTTCACATTATGACCTGTCCAACTCCTCTAACGTGGCAATGGAGGATGGCAGACATCAAGGCTGTATATCTCAAGGTAGGAAAGGCAATGAAACAACCCATTGTGAATAGCTTTACATGTTATTCAGAATTAAGCTCATAACCTGAGATTTAGCTAACACGGAATTACAATTTAAGCTTTTGAATAGAAAAGGAAATATGATGTTCATATACGCATTATATTTGATGTCATTGTTTTCAGAGTGTCTCAGTGTTAGGATCAACCAGCTCAGTGATATGTTTGTGGAAACCCATGCTCTTGACAAAGCAAAAGAACTTCTGAAAAGACACAACCACGTGGCCATCTGCGGAGCCCCTGGAGACGGGAAAACTAGTGCTGCTCTCAGGATCTGTGAAGCGTATATGAAGAAAAAGTATCAAGTATTGTTTGTTGAAAGTATTGAAGAGTTTGACAGTGATGTCGTCATTAAGCGAAAGTGTGACATGCTGGTTGTGTTTGACGATGTCTTTGGCTCTGTTGCATTTCCAAGCAGCTTGGAGAAGATACACAAAATGTTCAATGCCTTGGTTGATGTTTTACTGCGCTTTACAAGAGACAAGGAACTGAAAGCCAAGGAAAAACAACCCCAGAAGAAAATTAACGAAAGAAGGAAGAAGGAAGATGAGAAGCAATGTGAAGATGAAAAGACACCAGTGTGTAACTACAAGCTTCGCTTTATATTCACATCCAGAAGCTACAACTGGAATGAAGGATGTGCACGACTGCATCAGTTCAAAGTAAATCTGTTTAAGCCGGAAACCATTGTTGATATGGTCAAGACTTGTTTAACCACAGAAGAAAAGAAACATATTCTGACATTGTTCAGGAAATGCCAAATGTGCGATATCTCCAATAAGGACATGAAAACCATTACTCAGTTGCAAGACAGCAGGTTTGGCTTTCCTCTGATCTGTAAACTGTATTGTACCAACCCAGCCTTCCAGATGCACAACATAATTGACTTCTTTCAGAACCCTGTGACCTACCTGAGAGGTGACCTTGACACCATTGTCCGTGAAGGCAGCAGCAAGTCGGCAGCTCTAGTTCTCCTCGTCCTGTGTGGAGGGAAATTGAACCTTGCCTCTTTTAAGGGGAAGGAGAAGAATCTCACTGATCTGTTTCAGGCTGTAAAGGAGGATGTCGTGTCTTGCACTCGGACAGACATTGGCAGGGAGATCAGCAACTTTACTGGCACCTACTGTACGGTGGAGAATCATGTAGCCTCCTTCTCTCATCCATCCATCTACGATGCTGCAGCATGTGCCTTGGGGAATCTCAATGAAGATTTGTTACTGGAACATTGTTCCCTGCAGTTTTTATATGAAAGAGTGAGGCTGAACAAGGATGATCACCAGCAGACAACCCACACTGATGATGTCACAAACATGATCTACATCACCTCAAGTCTCCACCCGTTAGTGATCAGCAGATTGGTGGAGGGTGTCCGAGAAGGATGCTTCAGATGGACAGTAGGCCACCCTGTATTCAGAAGTGCTCAAATATTCTCCGACTTCTTGACACAGATGACGGCAGACTTGCAAGATGTTGTTCACAGGAAGGATAAGAGCTCAGGTGAATGTTTTCTGTATTGGGTTTCACTGTCAACTAACCATTCACTGTTTGAACGCTCAGTGTCACTGATGAGTAGCGAGAGAAGCCTTTCACATTCTGTACTCGCTGACTTCTATGAGAGTATCATAGGCTGTACACAACATGGCAATGTCAGGCATCTTAAACATATTGCTGCTGTACTCAAACAACATGGGGAATACGATGTAGACAATAGGACAAATGGAGTGAGGACTCCGCTGATGATTGCTGCGGAGGCAGGACAGTTGGGTGTGTTCAACTTCCTCCTCCAAGAGGGAGCTGATGTTTCAGCAACAGACACATATCGTTACAACTGTCTTCATCTTTCATGTAAATCAGGAAGCAAAGATATTGTAAATGTTATTATTAAACAGTTTCAATATCTGATCAATCACCGCGATTGTATAGGGAACACACCTGTTATAGTGTGTGCTACGTCAGGGCAGGTTGAAATCCTCAAGTGTCTTGTTTCACACAAAGCAGATCTTACTCTCAGGAATGTTTTCAGGAATGTGAACGCTTTCCACATAGCATGTATCAACGACCATGTATCGGTTGTAGAGTATCTGCTGACATGTGAACACATAACCATAGACATGCGAGGAGGATGGGAGGATCAAACAGCAGTCATGATGGCAGCTGAAAAAGGACACTGTGATGTTTATAATCTTCTTGTGTTGGAGGGAGCTGATCTGTCACTTATTGATAGAAACAACATGGACTGCCTGATGTTGGCATGTAAGGGAGGTAATTCGACTATGGTGAAACACTTCCTGTCCTTGAAAACATTTGACATCAACAGACGACGGGGGTCAGGGAAACAAACAGCAGTTATGTTGGCAGCTGAAAGAGGACACTCTGATGTTTTTAATCTTCTTGTGTTGGAGGGAGCTGATCTGTCACTTACTGATGAAGAAAACAGGAACTGCCTGATGTTGGCATGTGAGGGAGGTAACGTGTCTATGGTGAAACACCTCCTGTCCTTGAAAACATTTGACTTCAACAGACGAAGGTGGTGGTCTAAACAAACAGCAGTTATGATGGCAGCTGAAAGAGGACACTTTGAAATTTATGATCTTCTGGTGTTGGAGGGAGCTGATCTGTCACTAACTGATGTATACAACAGGGACTGCCTGATGTTTGCATGTGATGGAGGTAACGTCTCTATAGTGAAACACCTCCTGTCCTTGAAAAAAATTGACATCAACAGACGAGGGGGGTCACAGAAACAAACAGCAGTTATGATGGCAGCTGAAAGAGGACACTGTGATGTTTATAATCTTCTGGTGTTGGAGGGAGCTGATCTGTCACTAACTGATGTATACAACAGGGATTGCCTGATGTTGGCATGTAATGGAGGTAACGTGTCTATAGTGAAACACCTCCTGTCCTTGAAAACATTTGACATCAACAGACGAGGGGGGTGGTCCAAACAAACAGCAGTTATGATGGCAGCTGAAGGAAGACACTATGAAGTTTATTATCTTCTTGTGTTGGAGGGAGCTGATCTGTCACTAACTGATGTAAACAACAGGGACTGCCTGATGTTGGCATGTCATGGAGGTAACGTGTCTATAGTGAAATACCTCTTGTCCTTGAAATCATTTGACATCAACAGACGAGTGGGGTGGTCTAAACAAACAGCAGTTATGATGGCAGCTGAAAGAGGACACTCTGCAGTTTATGATCTTCTTGTGTTGAAGGAGGCTGATCTGTCACTAACTGATGTAAACAACAGGGACTGCCTGATGTTGGCATGTGAGGGAGGTAACGTGTCTACAGTGAAACACCTCCTGTCCTTGAAAACATTTGACATCAACAGACGAGGGGGGTCACGGAAACGGAAACTAACAGCACTTATGATGGCAGTTGAAAGAAGTCACTATGATGTTTATAATCTTCTTGTGTTGGAGGGAGCTGATCTGTCACTAACTGATGAAGAAAACAGGGACTGCCTGATGTTGGCATGTGAGGGAGGTAACGTCTCTATAGTGAAACACCTCCTGTCCTTGAAAACATTTGATATCAACAGACGAGGGGGGTCACAGAAACAAACAACAGTTATGATGGCAGCTGAAAGAGGACACTCTGATGTTTATAATCTTCTTGTGTTGGAGGGAGCTGATCTGTCACTTATTGATAGAAACAACATGGACTGCCTGATGTTGGCATGTAAGGGAGGTAATTCGACTATGGTGAAACACTTCCTGTCCTTGAAAACATTTGACATCAACAGACGAGGGGATTGGTCTAAACAAACAGCAGTTATGATGGCAGCTGAAAGAGGACACTCTGATGTTTATGATCTTCTTGTGTTGGAGGGAGCTGATCTGTCACTTACTGATGATGAGAACAACGACTGCCTGATGTTGGCATGTAAGGGAGGTAATTCGACTTTGGTGAAACACCTCCTGTCCTTGAAAACATTTGACATCAACAGACGAGAGGAGTGGCGGCAACACACAGCAGTTATGATGGCAGCTGAAAGAGGAGACAGTAATCTTTATGATCTTCTTGTTTTGGAGGGAGCTGATCTGTAACTAACTGATGAAAACAACATGGACTGCCTGATGTTGGCATGTGAGGGAGGTAACGTGTCTATAGTGAAACACCTCCTGTCCTTGAAAACATTTGACATCAACAAACGAGGAGGGAGGTGGAATAAAACAGCAGTTATGATGGCAGCTGAAGGAGGACATAATGATGTTTATGATCTTCTTATGTTTGAGGCAGCTGAACTGTCAGCTGATGAGGAAAACACGGACTGCCTGATGTTGGGAATTCTTGGAGCTGCCGAGTCAAAATTCAAACACATCCTGTCCTTGTAAACATTTGACATCAACAGACGAGGGGGGTCACGGGTACAAACAGCAGTTATGATAGCAGCTGAAAGAGGACACTCTGATGTTTATAATCTTCTTGTGTTGGAGGGAGCTGATATGTCACTAACAGGCATGTGAGGAAGGTAATGTGTCTATAGTGAAACACCTCCTGTCCTTGAAAACATTTGACATCACCAGACGAGGGGGGTGGTCTAAACAAACAGCAGTTATAACTGCAACTGAAAGAAGACACTCTGATGTTTATGATCTGCTTGTGTTGGAGGGAGCTGATCTGTCACTTACTGATGATGAGAACAACGACTGCCTGATGTTGGCATGTAAGGGAGTTAACGTGTCTTTGGTGAAACACCTCCTGTCCTTGAAAACATTTGACATCAACAGACGAGGGGAGTGGTCTAAACAAACAGCAGTTATGATGGCAGCTGAAAGAGGACACTCTGATGTTTATGATCTGCTTGTGTTGGAGGGAGCTGATCTGTCACTAACTGATGTAGACAACATGGACTGCCTTATGTTGGCATGTGAGGGAGGTAATGTGTCTATAGTGAAACACCTCCTGTCCTTGAAAAGATTTGACATCAACAAAAGAGGAGGGAGGTGGAATAAAACAGCAGTTATGATGGCAGCTGAAGGAGGACATGATGATGTTTATGATCTTCTTATGTTTGAGGCAGCTGAACTGTCACGGACTGCCTGATGTTGGCAATTCTTGGAGCTGCCGAGTCAAAATTCAAACACATCCTGTCCTTGTAAACATTTGACATCAACAGACGAGGGGGGTCACGGGTACAAACAGCAGTTATGATAGCAGCTGAAAGAGGACACTCTGATGTTTATAATCTTCTTGTGTTGGAGGGAGCTGATATGTCACTAACAGGCATGTGAGGAAGGGAATGTGTCTATAGTGAAACACCTCCTGTCCTTGAAAACATTTGACATCAACAGATGAGGGGGGTGGTCAAAACAAACAGCAGTTATAATTGCAGCTGAAAGAAGATGCTATGATGTTCATAATCTTCTTGTGTTGGAGGGAGCTGATCTGTCACCAACTGATGAAGACAACAATGAATGTGGACATGTGAGGGAAGCAGCGTGTCCATAGTGAATCACCTCCTTTGGTTGAAACGTCTGGCCGAGGCGAATGAAAATTCAGCCATAAAAAGAACGAGTACATTACTGAGTGAGTCAGTTTGACAAGGACCCAGTCACGGGAATAAACACTAAGGTTTTTGACATGCTACCGGAGTCTGGAGTGCAATAATCACTACCCAAGACACAAAAGAAACAAGCCATGGTTTTGGACAGAATGTGTTTTAAAGACATATATTTTCGTAAAATATACGCGTGTGTCCTTGTAATCATGAAGGATACAAAACCATCCGTAACCATGAAGATTCGTACCCAACGAAAATGGCTAACCCGTAACAAAAAGTCTCGCCAGATTCGTATCTGTTTTAGTGGTGTCATGTTTTATTTGGTTTGCCCGTACCCTAATTTGAAGGATCGGTATCCAGATTGGGATTACCCGTACCCATTTAGGTTTTTAAAGCAAAATGCCCGAAACTGGATTGCTTTAACAGGTACAGAGCAAGAAAACGTGTTTCTAATCATTTATTCAACAGTAAATTCTCATATATTCTGACCTGCACTTTCATAGCAATCTGTTCATTGCACTATTACATTTCCCATATTCATTCTTTTTACATTTCAAGCATTGACCCTGTATACGTTTCTGAACTTTATTCATTATACAATACAAACATTCATACATTTTACATTTGAAAATTCATTCATTTAAAATTTCAAAAATTCATTCATTCATTGGTGAATGAACAATCAACCAATTCACTCGATCAATGTCCGTTTTTGTCTTCAAGTGGCCTTACTTGCTCAACTCAATCAATGTCTGTGGTTTGTCTTTAAGTGGCTTTAATTGCTCAACTCAATCAGTGTCCGTGGTTTGTCTTCAAGTGGCCTTACTTGCTCAACTCAATCAATATCTGTGGTTTGTCTTCAAGTGGCCTTAATTGCTCAACTCAATCAGTGTCTGAGGTTTGTCTTCGAGTGGCTTTAATTGCTCAACTCAATCAATGTCTGAGGTTTGTCTTCAAGTGGCCTCAAGTGCTCAACTCAATCAGTGTCCGTGGTTTGTCTTCAAGTGGCCTTAATTGCTCAACTCAATCAATGTCTGAGGTTTGTCTTTTAGTGGCTTTAATTGCTCAACTCAATCAATGTCTGAGGTTTGCCTCCAAGTGGCCTTAATTGCTCAACTCAATCAATGTCTGTGGTTTGTGATATTAGTCCTTAAGTGGCCTCGTCACCTAGAGAGTTGCAGTCTGAAAGCTGATATCTCTCTCTGCTGGTATTTATACCAGCTTCTGAAACGTTTGCCTTGGTGTGACACATCATGTGTAGTTTCATTGGGTACAGATTCGCCTTTTGGGGGTAGGAGTCATCCAGTTGATTAGGAGCAAGTTGGTACGGCTTGTACAACACTTGGATACGAGTCATTCAGTTGATTAGGAACGAGTGGGTACGGGTTGACCAGCACTTGGGTACGAGTCATCCAGTTGATTAGGAACAAGTGGATATGGGTGTCCAACACTTGGGTACGAGTTATCCAGTTGATTAGGAACGAGTGGGTACGGGTTGTCCAACACTTGGGTACGAGTCATCCACTTGATTAGGAACGAGTGCGTACGGGTTGTCCAATACTTGTGTACGAGTCATCCAGTTTGATTAGGAACGAGTGGGTACGGGTATCCAACACTTGGGTACGAGTCATTCAGTTGATTAGGAACGAGTGGGTACGGCTTGTCCAACACGTGGGTACGAGTCATCCAGTTGATTAGGAACGAGTGGGTACGGCTTGTCCAACACGTGGGTATGAGTCATCCAGTTGATTAGGAACGAGTGGTTATGGGTATCCAACACTTAGGTACGAGTCATCCAGTTGATTAGGAACGAGTGGGTACGGGTTGTCAAACACGTGGGTACGAGTCATTCACTTGATTAGGAACGAGTGCGTACGGGTTGTCCAATACTTTTGTACGAGTCATCCAGTTTGATTAGGAACGAGTGGGTACGGGTATCCAACACTTGGGTACGAGTCATCCAGTTGATTAGGAACGAGTGGGAACGGCTTGTCCAACACGTGTTTACGAGTCATCCAGTTGATTAGGAACGAGTGGTTATGGGTATCCAACACTTGGGTACGAGTCATCCAGTTGATTAGGAACGAGTGGGTACGGGTTGTCCAACACTTGGGTACGAGTCATTCAGTTGATTAGGAACGAGTGGTTATGGGTATCCAACACTTGGGTACGAGTCATTCAGTTGATTAGGAACGAGTGGGTACGGGTTGTCCAACACTTGGGTACGAGTCATCCAGTTGATTAGGAACGAGTGGGTACGGGTTGTCCAACACTTGGGTACGAGTCATTCAGTTGATTAGGAACGAGTGGTTATGGGTATCCAACACTTGGGTACGAGTCATTCAGTTGATTAGGAACGAGTGGTTATGGGTATCCAACACTTGGGTACGAGTCATCCAGTTGATTAGGAACGAGTGGGTACGGGTTGTCCAACACTTGGGTACGAGTCATCCAGTTGATTAGGAACGAGTGGTTATGGGTATCCAACACTTGGGTACGAGTCATTCAGTTGATTAGGAACGAGTGGGTACGGGTTGTCCAACACGTGGGTACGAGTCATCCAGTTGATTAGGAACGAGTGGGTACGGCTTGTCCAACACGTGGGTATGAGTCATCCAGTTGATTAGGAACGAGTGGTTATGGGTATCCAACACTTAGGTACGAGTCATCCAGTTGATTAGGAACGAGTGGGTACGGGTTGTCCAACACTTGGGTACGAGTCATTCACTTGATTAGGAACGAGTGCGTACGGGTTGTCCAATACTTTTGTACGAGTCATCCAGTTTGATTAGGAACGAGTGGGTACGGGTATCCAACACTTGGATACGAGTCATCCAGTTGATTAGGAACGAGTGGGTACTGACGCTATGTTGGTGTAACATATTGTAAATAGCGTGGTTTAAATTTATTGATTGATGTATGTCATGTTACCATGTGATTATATCTGTTCAATCTTTGGATGTATTTTAATGATGACAACGATGTTTGTCAGGGACTATTTCTTGTCTACACTCATGCATCGTGGCTATTTTTAGAATGTAAGTTGACATTTTGCCTTGATAAACAAATACCTAATACACTAGTTATTGAAGATTTCCCGATTCATTTCTTCCTCTAGCATGTTTTAAAGTATATTTCACTTTGGATATTAATGGTAATTAAACTTGATTGCACCGAATGACTAATTCCATCCGCTGTTTTTCATTTCTTAGGTTTCGGTGACCTGTCAATTATGTTTATGTTTGGCATAATGACTGTTAATAACTTGGATGTCCGTTTTCATATCAAAGTCATAGATTCATGATAAAGTATTTTCCTGTTGTCCGTTTTTTCAGTTAGCATTTGATAAGTATTTTAGTCCATCTTGTAACTGTCCGAATTATTAAAGGACATATAGGAGAACATAAATACCTGGAATGAGGGTTTATTTGCTGCTTGGCCTGAACCATGCTTGTTCTTAATTTTGTCATCTCAGATATCAGCTCAAATCAGTTTGTTAATCATGTTTGATGTATTCGGTTGGTTGGTTGGCACAGGTGGCCCAGTCATCTAAGGCGCCGCGATTCTCTGTGCAGAGTTGTGTCCCTTGGGCACGCCATAAACCTATGATTGTGGGTTTGAATCCCGGTTCGCCCCGATTATGTTTCTAGGTTTGTCAGCACCATACCCGTGCTTGTGGGTTTCACTGAAGTGGTAAACGTCTGAGACCTGCATCACTTCGGGCTTTCCTCCCACATTAATCTGACACGCCGTGATATGACTGGAATACTGTTTAAAGCGGCGTTAAACCCAACTCTCTTACTCACTCACTCACTCACTCAGGTCCAGCACAGTTGGCACACTGACGTCACACAATACAAGGTATAATGTTAAGTAATTAAGTGTCACAGCTTGGCCTGCCAAACCCTTGTGACGTTGTCCGTCATTTGTAATTAAGGATGACTGATTGACGCCCCTAGCGAGTCTGGGGCAAGTTTCCGCTTCAGCACAGATAAGATAAGCATAAATGTCAATCAAAGAAAGTCAAGTTGTTCACGTTTATTTAAATGAAAGTTTATAATATCCATTGCATGTATAATCCAATGAAAGCACAGCATTTTATATTCTAAC